TAATCTCCCCATACGCCGGAACATCCAAAGTCGAGTATGGGGCCTGTCCGCACACCAGAAATAATCCTACGATACGTGGGACCTCATCATCATGTCTCACTGTCTGCTTTGGGTCTGGCTACATTCTCACCAGCCATCTAACTGTCCGCTATGGGCCTGGCTACATTCTCAGCAGTCCGCACATAATCATATCTCCCCTCATACGTCGGGACGCACCCGGTCACGTATAGGGTCTGTCAACACGCCGGCTACTCCTACGACCCGTGCGACCTCAACACAATCTCCCCTCATACGACGGGACGCACCCGGACTCGTATGTGGTCTGTCAACACGTCCGCTACTCCTACGACACGTGCGACCTCAACACAATCTCCCCTCATACGACGGGACGCACCCGGACTCGTATGTGGTCTGTCAACACGTCCGCTACTCCTACGACACGTGCGACCTCAACTTTGGGCTTGACTATATTCTCACCAGTCCGCACACAATCATATCTCCCCTCATACGTCGGGACGCACCAGGCCACGTATGAGGTCTGTCAACACGCCGACTACTCCTACGACACGTGCGACCTCAACAGAATCTCCCCTCATACGACAGGATGCACCTAGCCTCGTATGGGGTCTGTCAACACGCCGGCTACTTCTACGACACGTGCGACCTCAACTTTGGGTCTGGCTACATTCTCACCAGCCCGCACACAATCATATCTCCCCTCATACGTCGGGACGCACCAGGCCACGTATGAGGTCTGTCAACACGCCGACTACTCCTACGACACGTGCGACCTCAACAGAATCTCCCCTCATACGACAGGATGCACCTAGCCTCGTATGGGGTCTGTCAACACGCCGGCTACTCCTACGACACGTGCGACCTCAACACAATCTCCCCTCATACGACGGGACGCACCCGGCCTCGTATGGGGTCTATCAACATCGGGGGAGGTATATAGGGTAGTGCGTATAGCACTCCAAACTGACATTCTATACTTTTTTATACCTTTAAATAAACACATAAATATATATAAATTTCTAATATTGTATACACCTCAACCCCAATATAGCATTCGATATTCCCCGAATTTAAATCAATGAATTAATATTCTAATCCCACTTAACCAACATACAATCAAGACCCGTCACTACGGTCATTTTCAATCTTCCTAGGAAGGTAACATTACTTAGGAAGTCTCACGGTCAATCCCGGTGTCAAACTACCCACCCTTGGTCAAAATGGCCCGTGGGGCTCACGACCTCCAAATCTCAATCCGACAGTTTCTATGAATGCTACCCGGTTTAGGACACTCGTCCTACAAGTTTGGTCCAGATAGGACGGTCGGATCGCTCCCGATCGCACGATCGGACGGTTACTAAAACCCTAACCCTAGGGTTGGCATTTTCGGAGTATCCGGGACTCCGTTTTACGATCCGTCGAATCCTACATGATCCTGGTAATACCTAGATCAACATATTATAACTTTAGGACCATCCAACGGTCCAAACCTAGAGAACCTAGAAAATATGCAATATGAGATATTCGTTCGGGACTCTAACGGTATCCAAATTGAAATCCGAGCACACCTACGCGCTCGTGACAACGAGAGGATCGCATTGGGACAAAAATGCCCTTCAGCAACAGTGCCCACGCGCCGCCATACGCGCCGGCAGCGCGTGGGTGTCCAAAGCGATATCGCATTGCCGGAAAACTTCCAAATCAAGAGCCAAGACTCCTACCCTAGGTAATACACCAAATTTGGAGCCACTTTTGTTCTTGGGCATACCCCAGAAACTGACCGGAAGTGGTCGGAATCTCATCCCGAAATCTGGCCGAAATCCAATTCGAAAATCGAGCTACCTACACTGAAAATTGATGCAATCCTAACCAACCATCAGCTAGATCATGAAAAATAGGTAGAAATCCATACCTCAATCACCAGAAAGGTGGCCGGAGGAGGGAGATTGAGCCGGCGAAGTTTCGAGCGAAAACCGGCCAAAAACCTGCATTTTTCGGCGACTGGAGCGGCGGCCGATGTCGGGGAAGGGCCAAGTCTTGACGGCGGGGCTGAGCCGGTCCTTTTGGCACTAGTCCCGTCCGCTGCCATGGACGGTGGCTGGAGTTTCGAAGAGAGAAAGGGAGGAGCTGCCTTCGGGGAGAGAGAAAGACGCGCGGGAGAGAGAGAGAGAGAGAGAGAGAAAGAGAGATCTGAGGGCATTTTCAACTTTTATCAAAAATCCCTTTTTCCAAATAATTACGATTATGCCACTAAGTTTCATTCGATCGTAACTCTCTAGTTACAATTCCGATTCGAGCCCACTACGTGTCTACTGACTCATCTCACCGTGCTCTACGCAACGGTACAGCCGAAATTCCCAAATTCCTTTTTAATAAGAAATGACCAAATTACCCCTATCCCAAGGGTAAATTTGTAATTTCATTTAAATAAATTAAAATAGGCAATAAATTTGGAGTCGGGGTGTTACAAACAACATAACAGCTAAAACACTAATGTATTGTCATTGAAGACCCTTAACTATGGTAACTCCCGTAACCCCCTAACACTCCCTTGCAAACTTGACGCCGGAGAGGTGACAAGTTTGGAAATAAGACGTGAAAAGAAGGAATATAATAAGATGAGGAATGGAAACAAAGGAAAATTCATCACATGGAAAGCAAAAAAGGATGCGTGCAGAGAGAAAAGAATGAATATTTGAAGGGAATAAAGAGGCTAAGAGAGGATGCAGCACAACCGTAGAGGATAGGAGGTGAAACCAACCTGGGACACAGAGAAAAGAAAACGAGAGCGTGGGCAAATTTGAATTTCAAAGCACCATAGAGACAATAAGGTATGGGGAAGAAAACCACGGGGGAACAGATAAATAATAAAGAGAAGATTATCACAAGAGGATAAAGGCCCATATAGATTAAAATAAAGAGGGATAATTGACCCAAACCCAAAAAAACAAAAATAAGAAATTAAGGAGGAAACCAAGTGAGACAGAGAAAGGAAAAGAGAGTGTGGGCAAAACACATAGAGTTAAAATCCTTTCAAAACAAAGACGGAAAAAGGAGAGAAAGAAATAGAGGAAAAAGGGTAACACCCATCAAAAGGAGAAAGTAGTCAAGAGAGGAAGAGAGAACAAGATGCAAGAGACAAGCCATGAAAAGGAATGGAAACTCAAGATGCCAAAGACAACCCATGACAGGGAGAGAGACAACATAATTGAAAAGAAGAGAATAGAATACCCCAGTAACATAAAATAATTATAAAGAAAAGAAGACAATACCCTTGTAAACAGAGAAGAAGAATGGCAGGGCAGGAGAGCATTGAAGAAGACAGAGACCAAAAGTAAAATCAAAGAAAGAGATTGGGCTTAAGAGGGGAGAAGAACACAGGTTGAGCATAGATAGAGCGTGAGAGGCTGATACCAAGGCAGCAACACAGTGATGGGGCTTGAGTGCCCGATACCAACTCGGCAACACAGAAGAAGAAACACGGTTGTGCAAAGGGAACACCGGCAGTGTAGCACAACAAAAAAGGCTCGACGAGCGTTGACGAGGCTCACGGAGGAAAGAGAGACGGCTCGGTGAGCGATGAAAGGCAACATCAACAAACAAGGGGAAAGTATGGACACCAGATAGAGAAACCATCATAAATACATGAGAAAGAGAAACCACAATTGCAAACTAGGAAAAGTGAAAGGAAATGAAGTTTTTTATTATTTATTTATTTATTTAATTTTAGATATGGGCTTCTAATAAAAACAAATAAAAACAAAATAAAGGAAGGGAAGCATTAAGGTGAGGAGCACGAGTGTTTGGGCAGGAGAGAGAGAGAGAGATGAAGCTTAAGGGAATGAAGGGGAAGCATGCGTGTAAATTGGAAAAATGGGGGGGCTCATGACACCAAAAAGAAAGAGAGGGAGTCTTGATATAACCAGAGAAAGAGAGAGAGTTCAAGAGGGAGTTTTGATAGAGAAAAAAAAAGGAATGACACCCTGGAGAGAGAGAGAGAGGATAGAGCACATGAGGACAACGGTTGTGCAAAGGGACTAACGACAATGAAGCACAGCAGGACAGAGACAAAGGCCGGCTAGGATAAGGCTTGGTGAGCGATGACAACTGACAAGGGGGAGAAGGCTCAATCATCAATAGAGAGCATAAGAAGGAGAAATGGCTCAATCAGAGAGCATTACATGGAGAAATGCATGGCTCAATCTTCAACAGAGAGCTAGACATGGAGAGAGTGAAAGATAAAGGTGTTGGCGTGACTTGTGGATATTGACTTACTTTCCTTACACACCAAGGATTCCTATTTTATTTGTAATTGCAATTACTGATTATAAAAGGGAGCAGAAGATGGAGAACTATACAGAAGCAAACACCCTTTCAGGCGAGGAGAGCCAACGACTCTCAATGTTGGCAATTGGAGGATCGCTAATCGGCGTTAGCCATTAGCTCTGATACCATGTAGAAACTGTATATTCTATTATTATATTTGAGATATTACAACCTATATTTATACACAAACTATAAGATATCTTCCCAGTGGTTACAATGAAACGGAAAACCCATTATATCCTAATAAAGGCTAATAACAACATAACAGCTAAAACACTAATGTATTGTCATTGAAGACCCTTAACTATGGTAACTCCCGTAACCCCCTAACAGTAAGGATGCGAATCTCTACATTAATTGACCGATCTAGATTAATCTTAGTCCACAGCAGGGCTGGTTCTACTCAAATGTTTTCTTTTTGTCTGACAACTCAAATGTACGTGGAAGTGGCTGGGCTTGAGTTACAGTTCCATTATTAGTAGATTCCATGACTTGAGTAGGTCAATAGGCTTGAAACATCCAAAAATGGTCCATAATTCTTGATAAGAAGATACATTATTGATTATGAAACATTTGCAATACATACATAATACAACCTGCAAGGATTGAAATAATATATTCCAATCCCATTATTTTAGTACGTACTACTACCTAACTGAGGGACGTAGCATAGCGATTGAATTCTGAGACATCATCTCAATGGAATTTCCTATTTCAGTGTGATTGTCGCTCTGCTTTGTTCGAGCCAGTTCGGTTGCCAAACACTCCTTTAGTTCCACTAATACCTGGCTCATGGATGGCCTGTTGATGGGGTGTTTAGATACACATGCCATTGCTAATTCCACAGCTTTCCAGACAGAGCTAACATTGAAACTTCTCTCTAACCTTG